ATTTGACCCATGAGAGTAAGCGTAGCCTATGCATCAATAAAAGGTGGAAAATGGGAATAAATCGCAACATTATTCATACCATATTTACTGATCCTGCCAAGAATCAAACCCAGGTCCTCTCGCTTGGGAGGCGAGTGCTCTAACCACTGAGGGCTCCAACCAATGAGGAAGGAATTAGGGTGGTTGAGATCTCTGATACTCACTGACTACCCACACAGAAAGAGTATATGAGGTACTTTGTGCTCAGGGCGACTGCTACCCATAGAATTGGTCTCAACAACAACATCTTGCATTTATATAGTGCTTTTCGCCCAGGTTGGATCATGTTGCTTTGTGGTATATTCTGTCGGAACACACACAATTATAACATTATTAACACCATAACGATAGGGGACCTTTCCTTATAAACATTTCCAGATTGTTCCTAAGGCATTTACAATAAGAAGGATGAGAAAAAAAAGTTAAAAGTCCAATATTTTAATTTTACTGTAATAAGTTTTCTTAAAATAACATCAGTTTATTTTGGCACTGTTTTATCTTTGAAATCGAATCACAAAAATAACAGCCACTATTGGCACTAAAATACAGTAACTGCCTTTTTTCATTGGATCATCTGCTTTCCATGGACCCATGCCAAGCTCCATTGGGCTATCTGCTTGTCTGTCAACCTGTCCAGCTCAATGTTATTTTATTGGACCATCCACCTGTCTATTCGCTCTGGATATCAGTACTGGCACAGAACACCCCAGTAACACGACACCCCTGGTTATAACATTACTCGAGCTTTTGTTAATTGGGATTTGCATAATATTAACCAAATTATAACATTATATGTCTATAACAATACACAAACTCAGATATGTACAAAACATGCCAAGCATGGCCTGGACCAGCTTCCAGTATAACATTATGCTGATTATATGTGGAGTCCTGTAGCTCAGTGATTATAGCACTTGCTTTGCAAGCGAGAGACCAGTGGTCGATTCCCGGCAGGGTGAAACCTTGGGCCGGTTTCCTTACTCCACGTGTCTGATAATAATCCCTCAAGAAAATTAAACAATAATAAATTGGCCACTTCAAACCACGCCTGTTTGTGGGACACTGCTGTGCGCAATTGGCTGCCGCATTTCACCCACAGTCAATTCACTTTACAGCATATTCTGTGAAGCACTTTGAGACGTCTAGAAGACGTGAAAAGTGCTATATCAAATGCAAGAATTATTATTATAATTATAACAATAGGCGATTTAATATTATACAAACTCAACCACAGTCAAAATATTTTGCAGAGAGGAGAGAAAATTGGAGTGAAAAAATGCACCAGAAATGATAGATCAAATAGAGTTAATGTAATGTGTCCATTTTAATTGTAGACTGAATTGTAAAGTCAATTCACGTTACAGTATATTCTGTGAAGCTCTTTGATATGACGCGAACACATGATAAGGTACTATATTAAATGCAAGGATTTTGGTAGTGTTATTATTTTACTAACATGTGTTCTTTACAGTTACATTAAACCCACAATGAAAAATGCACAACAACAACAAGATTCCATTTATAGAGCGCCTTTCACGTCGGGAGGACATCCCAAGGCGCTGGACAGTTGGGTCAGGATCCGAGCAGGGGGGAAATGGTCAGGTGAGGGGAGGGAAGGGAGGGAGCGAGCGAGGAGGGGGTAAAGAGTCGAGAGGGGAGCTGAAGGCACGGTCAAAGAGGTATCATGCTTCTAGTACTATTAATGCTTGAATGTTATTTTCTATTTAACACACCTGTAGCCTTTGCTGATCTCAACATATGTGCTATAGATTTGTAAACCAGTTAAATGTAAATCTGAACTATTGTTCAATCATAAAGCAGTCTGTTATACAAGTTGTGTAAACCATGGCTGTACAGCAGAATATTTAACACATCTGCAACTGATTTTTTTTCCCCAGGACTCCAAAACATGCGTTCATCTCATTCCTTACATAATCCTTCTGGACTTTAATACCCTGCCTGTTTCATATATAATTTTTCTTTAAGTTGCTTTCTATCCAAAGTATCCTGCTGTTATCACTTCCAGCAAATATTCTTGTTATCCTGACCTGACTCCTAGTCCTGGTTACTATTTGATTCTTTGGAACTTTTAAAGTATTGCGAAATATAGTAACACTGTCAATGTATTCCCCTTCCCCTCGCCTCCCTTCTCCCACCCTGACCCCAGCTCGGGTCTGAAATGCTGTACACTGTCCAGCACCTTGGGACGTCCTCGCGACGTGAAAGGCGCTATACAAATGTAATCTTGTTGTTGTTTGAGGATGAAACATAATGTGAAGAATTCATCCACTCTTAAAAATGTTTTGTCAGCCTCTAAAGTTTATTCAGTCACATTGGTGTGGGATTCTCTTCTGTTTCTTCACATTGTTTTTTTCAGAATACTTCCTTAGAAGTATTGGTGCAATCTACTTCCTTGAAAGTATTCTGAAAAACATTCTAACCTTTGTCTGTTTATTATCTGGATCTGCTCCCCATTTAATCTCTTCCCTAGAATATATATCTCCCATCTTTGAAGCTTGCTCTTGTTAAAGTCTTCTTGAATATAACTATTGTATTTTGAGGCTCAGGCGCTGACAGTATCACAATCCATGATTGCACATTTCACCTTATTAAGCCAGTCCAGAATCTTGGTGTCTTGTTTGACCCTCAATTATCCTTTCTACCCCACATCTGTGGCTTGATCCGCTCTGCCTTCTCCCACCTCCGCGACATCGTCTGGCTCCGCCACTGTCTCACACTGCAAGCCGCCAAAACTCTCATACATGCTTTCATTACATCGAGGCTTGACTATGCAAACTCATTGCTTATCGGCCTCCCCAACTCCTCCCTCCATAAACTGCAGATCATCCAGAACTCTGCAGCCCATATCCTCTCCCGCACCAGGCTCCGTGACCCTATCACCCCCATCCTCGTCTGCCTCCACTGGCTTCCCATTACACAGAGGATACAGTTCAAGATCCTGGTCCTCACCTTCAAAGCCCACCATGGTCTTGCTCCCCCCTTTGTCACCTCCTAACCCCTACCATCCTGCTTGCTCCCTCCGCTCAGTGGGCTCCAGCCTGCTTCTCGTCCCCTGCCTCGCTCACCCCAAAATTTGGCGGGCGTGCCTTCCGCCACTCTGCCCTCACCCTCTGGAACTCCATTCCGCAGTCAACTGCCTCGCCCCCTCCCTTGCCTCCTTCAAGACCCATCTCAAGACCCTCCTCTTCGATCGTGCTTTCAATCACCCTCCTTCCCCCCCGCCCTCCACGCTCCCCGATCCAGACCTCCAGCTCGGGTGCAAAACTCTGTCTGTCCAGAGCCTTGGGACATCCTCCTGATGTGAAGGCGCTATAACAAATGTAATGTTGTTGTTGTCACCACAGTGTTGAAATTCTCAAAATGCTTCACAAGATTTATTGTAACGTGTAGTAATTGCACTTTACCCGTCTCTGCCAATACCACTCCCCAAAAGCCGCTGAAACCCTGGTCCATGCCTTTGTCACCTCTCGGCTGGACTCTTAACGCCCTTCTCGCCGGTCACCCATCCATGACCATCCACAAAATCCAGATCATTCAAAATTCTGCCGCCCGCATTCTCACCCGCATGAAACTCCGCTCCCCGATCACCTCAGTCCTTGCCAGACTGCACTGACCGCCTCTCCCAGAGAGGATCGATTTCAAGATCCTCACTCTTGTATTCAAGTCCCTGCACTCCTCTGCACCCCCCTACCTCTCTGACCTCTCTCCTCAGCACAGTACCCGTTTCCTTCGTTCCTCCAGGTCTGGCCTCCTCCTTGTCCTCCGAGTCCTCCGCTCCACCCTCGGCAGCTGTGCCACTATGCCCGAGGCTCTGGAACTCCCTTCCTCACTCCTTTCACCTCGCTCCCTCCCTTCCTATTTTCCAGTCTCTGCTGAAGACCTTTCTTTCCGACCGCGTCTTTGGTCACCTTCCTCCCCCTCCCACTGGCTCGATCCCGGGATCCGTTACTGTGAAGCACTCTGAGACGCCATCCGGCGTGGAGGGCGGTATATAAATCCAAGTTGTTATTGTTGTTGTAATTAATAATAATAATAATAATCCTTGCATTTGATATAGCGCTTTTCACGTCTTCTAGACGTCCCAAAGCGCTTCACAGAATATACTGTAAAGTGAATTGACTGTATATGTGTGGGCGATTGCGGCAGCCAATTGCGCACAGCAGTGTCCCACAAACAGTCTTGGATTGAAAATGACGAATTTATTGGTTTCTTTTGGAGGGATTATTATTAGGCGTGTGGAGTAAGGAAACTTGTCCAAGGTTTCGCCCTGCCTGGAATTGAACTCAGGTCTCTCGCTTGCAAGGCGAGTGCTCTAACCACTGAGCTAAAGGACTCCACATGTTTATAGGCAAACGTTGTTGTAGGCAATGTGGTAAGTTCTTACAAGAATACTACTGTACTGAAAAAGTCAAAACCACCTTTCAATTGATCCTGTGTTGAAACTGCTGTGAGCAGCCCCGTCTCTCTCGGCAATATAGAGATGTGAAGTGTCATAAAGAGTTTATACTACATAAACCACATTCCACCACACAACCAATGGGATGTGAAAAAATACGCCTAATATCAAAATCAGTGGGGTTTTTTTAAATTTTACTCGAGAGCTCGATTTATTTTGAGTCTTTAATGTTAAAAATCCCTGTTCCCAAAGCATTCATGGGATGATCTGACTGCTTTAAAAGGGGAATGAAGGAACGAGCCCAGTATAGTTTGCACTTGCGACATTTCTATTGTGTGGGTATGAATCCTGCATCCGTCTACTCCAAGTGGCGAGCGATGGGCCCAGCACAATGTCACAGACAGCATTTTTACGGCACGCCTGGCAGTGATTTATTGTTTCAGTTTAACTTTGCCGTAGCTCCTTTGTCTGCCTGTTGACTGTTTCACACTCATTCCGGTCACTGACAACCATGTCTGATATATGCTTTTTTTTGTCCCCACAGAATGTTCAGGGCCACTTGGGATAGAGGGAGGGATTATATCGAACCAGCAGATTTCAGCCTCGTCCACACACCGTGCTCTGTTTGGCTTGCAGAAATGGTACCCATACTATGCAAGACTGAATAAAAAAGGCCTCATAAATGCCTGGACTGCCGCAGAGAATGACAGATGGCCATGGATTCAGGTAACAAATGGAGATTACAAAGAGGGACACACTCAAACATAATTTGCAGCTCTCTTCTATGCCCCATCACCCCTCCATCCGAAGTTGAGTGCGCCAAAATGTAAATTAGTACAAGTTATTGCTTTAATGTAGTATTAATGTAATTTTTAAAAGAAAATGAAAGTAAAAGCTGCTTGTTTGAAACTGTAATTTGGGCCATGTTATTATACGTATGTGTCTTTTTATTCGAATGAGCAACTCTACAGCAGTAATCATAAGCATTGTTGGATCGGTGAAATGGGTCTTGGAAAATAGAAAATGAATTTAAAACCGACTCATGAAATAATGCAGACAAATGTCAGGTATTTTATGTATTACAAATTTTATTGAGTCGTGCTGATTTGCAGCTTCCAAATCTAACTATGCTATAAATACAAGAAAAGCACTTGTCATTTTAACATTTTGCAGATGTTTTATTCATTCGTACATTTTTAACTTGAACAATTCAAAGGCCATCGCTTGGTAAATAAATCTTTCATTAAAAACAAAGTAAGACCAATAAATGCATCCTTTTATTGCCTCCAAATGAGGCAAGTCAGTTGTTGGAACCATATAATTAACTCCTTAAAAGAGCAGAATGGGACTTGAAAGTTGAACACATAGTTGACTGCAAAACCACAGTATAAATGATAACTCTGACAAAAGAAGCATCTTAGGTTTTAAAGTGAGTCACTATCAGAGATCCCTGATAGTGACTCACTTTAAAACTGTCTTTTCTTCCCCACATCCAAGCCATGACCCGCTCTGCCTTCCCTCACCTCTGTAACATCGCCCGACTCCGCCACTACCTCACCCCTCAGGCCGCTGAAACTCTTGTTCATGCCTTCATCACCTCCAGGCTCGACTATGCAAACGCTCTGCTTGTCAGCCTTCCCAACTCCTCCCTCCACAGGCTGCAGATAATCCAGAACTCTGCAGCCCATGCCCTCTCCTGCACCAAACTCCCCCATTCTCGCCTGCCTCCACTGGCTCCCTATCCTTCAGAGGATCCAGTTCAAGATCCTGGTGCTCACCTACAAAGCCCTCCATGGCCTCACCCCACCCTACCTCTGTGACCTCCTCACCCCTTACCAACCCGCCCGCTCCCTCCGCTCAGCCAGCTCCGGCCTGCTCCACGTCCCCCGACCCACCCACCCCACCACTGGCGAGAGAACCTTCAGCCACTCTGCCCTCAACTTCTGGAATTCCATCCCCCAATCACTCTGCCTTGTCCCCTCCTTAGCCTCCTTCAAGTCCCACCTCAAGACCCTCCTCTTCGACTATGCCATCAGCCACCCCCCTTCCTCTCCCCTCCCTTCTCCTCCCCTAACCCCAGTTCGGGTCTGGAATGCTGTTACACAGTCCAGCTCCTTGGGACGTCCTCCTGACGTGAAAGGCGCTATACAAATGTAATCTTCTTGTTGTTGTTGTTATGAGACCATGACTCCATTCCAATGATGTTGTGGAGCCAAAGTGACATTCACCGGACTCCCTGATGGAGATGCATTTTATATCCCAAGGAGCTTTTTCCAGCACTGGGCTCCATGTTTATTGTAGTTTTACTGTGTTTAGCTTTCAACTTATTTTAGCAAGTATTTGATGGTATCTTTCAGAAGTAATTTTACTGAAGTGTTTTTTTTAAATGGAGGGCACAAGTTGTTGTCATTTTAAATAAATTGTGCCCGTAGCAAACCAAAAGACAAAGACAGCACAGAACAGGCCACTCAGCCCAACCAGACATATTAATCTGGTTTATTTCTTTTCAGTTGGAGCCCAGCTCATCCTGGCAAATATATATGTTGGATCTAGGTTGGCCACTCATCAGGATTGGCACTTGATAGTCAAGTTTTCAATGTTCAGAAATTTCCAAAACTTTCATTTGAAATGAAAAATCTCAAAACTAAGTCTCTTTTTCCTTTTACATTGAAACCTTGATTATGCAATGTTGATCTTGCTACTTCTGTTTCATCATCAGTTGAGTCATGTTAAGAGCCAGTTTGTAACAGTCACTTATGTTTAAGGATTTGTTTTAAAATGAATATCCCACTAAGGAGATCCTAACAAAAATCAGTGCACGATTAAATTGATGAACCATCTCTGTAGATATTAAAATTTATATGTAACTGTACTGTAATGCAGATGGGGCTGTACTGTAATGCAGGTGGGGCTGTACTATAATGCAGGTGGGGTTGTACTGTAATGCAGATGAGGCTGTACTGTAATGCAGGTGGGGCTGTACTGTAATATAAGTGAAATCATATAGTGCTCTACATTTATATTTTCTTATTTCATCATCCTGAAAGTATGGGTTTGCGTTTTTCTAGGAAGTCATTTCCCCAATTCATAATTCAATTGGTCTGGAGGCTAATAATATATTCACGATATACTATAAAGTGCAGTGACTGTGGTGTGGGGATGAATGGAGCAGCCAATTTAATGCACTGCAATGTCCCACAAACAGCCATGAAGTGAATGATTAAATTTTTATTTGGGGAGGATATTTGGCCAGGACCAGGAGAAACCTATTCTCTTTTTGAAAAGTACTATGGGATCTTTAACACCCATCTAAACAGATTTAACATCGCATCCTAAGGTCAGCACCTTTGATAATGAGTCACACCTTCAGCATATCAGCATAGACTATGTGAATTCCGCATCCTGATATGGGACTTGAATCCAAGCTTTCTGACTCAGTGGCGAGACTAACTGAGCCAGACTGACATACAAATGATCAGTTAAAGCACTATCATGTTATTAGATTTGTGCTTTTGCAGAAAGCATTTTGGGCAGATACCATCAAGTATTTCTTTGCGCAGAGTGCTACTCATACTCACTGAATAAATATTCAAGAGATTTCAGCCCAAAAGGCTAGCCTGCTCCTGTGCCATAGGTTGAATGGAACCAGCAGAACCGATCCTACACAAATGTTACTCTGAAAGTTGGGTCAGCGACTGACTGAAGATTTGGATGGCATCCATTCCTTTCTTTAGGCTGCTGGAAAGCAAAGTATGTTTACTGATGGGGGTAGGAAGGGGGAAGTTAAACTGACGTTTCATTTTGTAGGTAATTATTTGTAAAGCAGGTTCTCCATCATTACATTTCCTTAAGTCCTGTTTATGTTGAAGATGCAGAGCAATTTGATTACCAAAATACAAATGTATTCTGTTTCAATTCCTGACCTATTTATTGGCTTCAAGGCAATTTTCTGGTATTAAGATTGATGCATGTGTATTGTAGTGTGTCCTCATGAGGTGCAGGGTACATTCTGGCAATCGTTGGAACCAGTTATATTGTAAAGAAAATTAATTTGGCGGAAAGGATCACTGAAGTAAAAATGAGATTTCATGATGGTCAATTCAGAGCTGGCAGCTTAATGAGAGAGCAGCTCATTGCAATATAAATTGTTTACATGATGGTTAGGTTATGAGGAAAAATGTGCTGATGACAGCTGGCACAAAGTGAATCCAAGGGACATCCTGTTTGATGCACTGTGTGGTGCCAAATCTGGTATTAGCTCAGGAGCAGTAATCCAGGCTCAGTGTGTGAAGTTAGTGTCTCTATTTTATGTGAACTACCTTGTTTACTTGGCATTTGCAACCAAAAAGGGAAACCACTGCTGAATGCTGAATATTTTGACTTTAGACTGCCAAAGCAGAACTTGAGGACACAGCTTAACATTTAAAAAGCCTTAAGCAAGGCTAGAGATTAGAAAAAATATGTGGAACATAGCCCAGCAAAAGCAATTGATGCTGAGTTGATTAATTCCTTCACAAAAATAAGTGGATAAGTACCTGCTTGGGAACAGTTTTGAGAGATACGTGGAGCTTGCACTTGTCTCTCAAATTGTCAAAAATCAGCTAATTCTCTACAGGAAATGATGATTTTTATTGCTGCTGGAAAGTGTGGCAAAGAAAGAAGTACTATATTTAGTATAGCACTTTGTCGGGTCAAAATGTCTCAAAGTGTTTCACAAGTAATTGCTGTTAAAGTGTAGTGACTGATTCTGTAGGGAAACCATTTATGCAAAACAAGATCCCACAAACAGCCATGAAGTAAATGGGTAATTAATCTGGAGGAGGGTTCGCCAGAATACTAGGAGAAACTTCGGGCTTTAAATTGGGTCTTGGAGGAAAGTTGCAAATCTGGTGTTAATCTAGAAAATCTCTACTATTCAATCTAGCTTCCATCATTGTGAAGAACAGGAAGGACATCTGCTTAATGAAGGAAGCCAGATTCAACAGTGGTGATGTTATTTGATGAAATTTGAGATTTACGAATGGAACTTTCCTGAGAGCATGTGAACGATGATTCCTTTTATTTTGTTTTCATAGAATTGCATAGAATGAGATCATGTGGAAACTAGCCATTTGTACCATTGGTCTTTGACAATGTTTATAATTCACACAAGTTTACTCACATCACCTACCCACCTACACCCTCTATTATTCGACTTTTTGGGCATGTGAAACAGCTTGCTTAAAACTAGCCTGTCAATGCTTTTTACCTGGATCCAGCACCAACATTTCTAATGCTAGAATTTGGTTTGGAATGGCTATGGAAGAAGCTCTATCGATGGCTTTATTCATTCTGTGCCATCTTGTAATTTTATTTGAACAGTGCAGTTTTTGTGAAATAGGGTTCACTACATTTTGAGTGTAAAAGGACAGGCACACTATACCCTTCAAAGTTTTCATCCAGTCACCATAAATTCACCTTTGAAAAATCAAGCAGTTCTGTTTGCTGTTGCTGTACAATATTCTGGTTTAGAGTGCTGAAGGCTCACTGAGCCGACAGAGAAGACCTACTGAGCCTAAGAGCTTGAGTTGAGTTAAGAAGACTGCGGAGATATTTATTAACCCAGCAGTACTTCAGCTTAACTCAGCTTCAACATGGAAGCACTCAGAAACGCTTCACAATTCACCCCCACTACCGAACAATATCAAGATTTGTTGTTCAAAGCAAACATTGGATTGAAAGAATGT